CTACCCACCACTACATATCACAACTAAAGAAGATGAATGTAAACCAAGATAAATCAATTTTCCCAGCCTATCTGAATGGGTTGCCTTGTGATTCCTGACAATGTTTATAAGCCTCCTAAGGGAAAAAAGGACTACTGCTGTATAATCCACATATAATGTTACTCACTTGTAAGGTGTAAGAGGAATCGCTGCGTAAGTCTAAGGGAGCTTCTTTTTTCCACATTAAACATTTTGACTGCCTGATCAAAATAAAGGGTGTCAAGTTTTTAATAACTTTAATATGGTAGTGAAGAAAGAAGGTCTGTGTCTTTCTGCACTCATAACATGAGAATACGGGATCAACTCTGAGGTCAGTGGTGTTACTTTTATCATGAAGCTATCGAGATGGGAGAATTGGGTCCATAATTGTTTCATGATCCTTCACAACAATACTTACATCTATTTTACACTAATTAACTTTGAGTGTAGGCTTTAATACCCCACTTCTCTTACATAGCCATGTGCTACATCCTCCTTGACACAACTACTTGCAAATGACTATTTTATGACACAATAATTAACTTCTTCTGTAAGCTTCGATATGAAAAACTAACTCCTCTTCACCAGCAGGGTGCTATACCCAGACACTTAAAAAATAAAAGAAATTATGTATTTATCACAGTCAGTAAGTGCTGTTTAAAAATAATGAGTTGGCACCCTGAGCTTTTATGTATGTGTAAAAATTAAATGAACTATAAAGCATATTTATACAACTGAAGGGAAATATAGGTTTAGTTTGTAAAAAAAAACAACAACCCCACTTTTATTACTTTCTGATGCAAATTAAAGTGACACAATTTGTTTTGGTTCAGTGCCTCGAAACATCTGAACACCTCTTGCCCTTAAAGTAACATGCGAATCAAAAGCACAAAGTATATAATGAGATGACATGAAACTTTTCTATTGCTTAATGTAGCAGGGCACTGAGGTGCCTGCTACTTGTGGTGCAGCAAGTAAGGAGCCCAGCTGCGGGTTGCCAGGGTAACCGGTAGAAGTCAGCTGACTGGAAGAGGCAGGGTTTGGCTCCTATATAACTCCCAGGCTGAGGCCAGGCAGGGGAGTTCCCTGCTGGCAGCCATAAGGGAAGGAGCTCTGCTGCACTGTGCAAAGAGGAGAGGCCAGACTGCAGGTATGGCCCAAGACTGAGGGAAGATGGAGCAACTCTGGTGTGGCAGGAAGAATGATTGTAGCCGATTGGCAGAGATGTATGTTACAGCCTACGGGCTTGAGTTTTCTGTTTATAGTTTACAACTGGTGGTTTGGGTGAGGCTATTAGGGGTTGGAGGAGGCCTCAAAGGGGCTCCGCGGTAGTCTGGGGACCCTGCTGCCAGAGGGTGCAACATTTTGGGGTACACGGACCCCAGCCCCACAGAAGTGGGGCGGCGAGAGAAGCCTCAGAGCAAAGGGGGCAGTGAGAGAAGCCCCAGATGGGGGCAGCGATTGACAAGTGCCAGAGGGGCGCGGTGGTGAGACAGACCAAACAACGTCTGGTACATCTGTGAGGCTTGGGGCATGGTAAAGGGGCAGTTGGAGCCATGCATAGCTCATCAGGCTGAGGAGCACCGAGACCCCAGGACAGAGCGGGGACACTGCTGACAGGAGAATTGTGACCAAGAGGGTGAAAGGCAGCCTCCCTTTTATTTATATCCAAGACCAAGATGTGTTGAGCAAGATTTGAGGGTGCTTGGAAGCAAACTTGGCATGGTAAGGGGGCCCTGGGGGATCACGGCAACCCCTAGGACTCCTCCCCGTGACACTTAACGTCTGATAAATATATAGGAAGGATATTCAAAAGCACTCGTTGGCCTAGCTCTGCTCCCTATTCACCCATAAAATTTTTCCCACGTACTTTGCTGCAAATATAATAGTTCCTCCATCTTTTTCTACCCCAATCTCTATTGGAGCTAAACTACAACTATCCTAGGAACCAACTAGGGCTATGCAAAGCTTCCATCGATGATCTGATTTGGCGGTGATTCAACCCAATTCGGTAGTCAAATCTCTGAATCCAAATCAAAACGAATCAGGAGTCCCTTTAATCTCTCCGAATTGAATCGGAACGCTCCGAATCAGTTCGGAGAGATTTGACGATTCGGACATAGACACAGCTTTAAATGCTTTTTCTACATACCTCAAGGTATCAGGTGGCTTGTGGATGTTGAGATGGTGGGGCGGATGCGGTGCCCCACAGGAGCGCAGGGAAATCCCCAGCATGCTCAGTATTGGAACCAGAAATGGACCAGAAGCAGCTCTGGTTCACTTCTGGGTCTGCCAGGGAGAGCGTGGGGGGGCAACCCCACACCCCACTAGCTTGACAACTGGTGCCTCCTGGGTCTGGGGGGGCACCCGGGGCCCCCTGCAGCCAATCACTGAGCCAGAGATCCCTGAGCCTCTCCTCATATGGCTTGCCATGCAAATCCCTGATCATATGAGTGGCCCTTCTCTGGACCCTCTCGAGTTTTAACATGTCCTTGTTGAAGTGCGGCGCCCAGAACTGGATGCAATACTCCACCTGTGGCCACACCAATGTTGAGTAAAGTGGGAGAATCACTTCTTTGGATTTACTGGAGATGCACTGATTGAGGCATGCCAGAGTTTTATTGGCCCTAGTGGCTACTGCGTCACATTGCCAACTCATATTGATGCTGGGGTCTATTGTTACCCCCAGATCCCTTTCACTTATAGTACTGGTCAGGTTAGCGATGCCCAGCCTGTAGGTGTGCTGGGGGTTCTTCCTTCCCAGCTGCAGCACTTTGAATTTCTCTATGTTGAACCTCATCTGGTTCCGTTCTGCACAACATGCCAGCCTGTTTAAGTCTGCCTGTATCTGCAGCCTATCTGCGGGTGTGTCTGCACAACCCCATATCTTGGTGTCATCCACGAACTTCGCCAATGGGCTTTTCACTCCCCTCATGCAGGTTGATGAAGATATTGAACAGCACTGGGCCAAGTACCAGCCCCTGGGATACGCCACTGCCCACATCTTGCTAGGATGACTCTGATCCATTAATTTGGACTGTGTGTTCTAACCCGCAAGCAGTTTCACACCCACTTGACAGTCCTACAGTTGAGCCCAATATCTTCCAATTTTCTGATCAGTACCTCGTGGGATACCAGGTCAAAGGCTTTCTGGAAGTTGAGGTATATGATCTCAACTGCTTTTCTATCGTCCAGGTAATGAGTCACCTGATCAAAGAAAGAAATCAAGTTGGCTAGACAAGACCTGCCTGCGATGAAGCCATGCTGGCTGTCATTCAGTATCATGCCTTCTGCAAGTTTGTCACATATAGTCTCTTTGCATGTTTCTAGGATTTTCCCTGGAATAGAAGTTAAGCTAATTGGCCTGTAGTTAAAGAGAAACTAAATGCTTTACTGATATGTTAGGGAGCTAGCACTATATTATTCAGTTTAAAATCAGGGCAAAAATAAATGAAACTATTAGAATGTGCACTAATTTGCTAGGTTTATGTATAAAGTATAACCCCCCACCCAAAAAAAAAACTATGCAAAAAATAGTCAAAAGATATTGCATCATTAATTCTGTAGTCATTATAGTTAAACGTTTCCTTCAGATCCATAAAACAAAATCTACCCTTCTTGAGTGTCTTGACAATGCCTCCAGTACTTCACAGTCAGTCATTTCTACACCAGATATAGTTTTACCACACCAGATTTAAGGTTTTAGATAGAGCTAAAAACAGTCTGCATGGCTGTGAAATAGAAGAGAGACATTACTAGGAATGGGTAACAGCAAAACTGCAGAATGAAAGTCTGAATAGTGGAACATCAAGACCATTAAAGATGATAGAGTGTCACTAACACCTATGGAGTAGAGAGAGAGATTAGCAGGAATGGAGGAGATGACAATGAGCCATGAAGTCAATTGACTCTCTCAGCACTTCATGAATAGAAAAGCCACCACCTCTTCCAAGCAGTTGGTTTTACAATTTGGGCGAAGAAGGAATCAAAAGAGGGGGGGAGGTAGAGAGGGGGAGACAGCCACTGCACCTCTCCTGGATCTACCTCTGTCCAATACACAACAGCAGATTAAATATTTGACCTGCAAGGTTGAGACCAAGTCAGTCCCCCAGATAAGATAAGTGATGAGTTTTACTATTGCCTCTTGTACATATAAGCAAACTTCTTCAAGATCAGGTCGCTGCAATATGCCAGCTTTCTTGGAACTGAGGGTAAGACTTGGGGCCAGAAGTTCTACACAAGTAGATTACTGAAGTGTCATTACATTACAGTATGTTAAAGAAGTCATTTCAAGTGTGCTGTGGAGTTTAACCAATACCTAAGAGCAGGATCTAAGAAATGGGCAAAGGTTAAAATTAACTGTGTTCATGGAAAACATACTGGCTGCATTAAGCACAAATTAATGCATGCAGGGATCTGTCCAAAAATCCATTAAAGATGGCACTCCATTAGTCAAGCAGTGAGGTAGTCTGAGACTGATTCACTGCTTTGATGTGTGATCAAGGAAGTTGCAGAAAAAGACTATACACAGGTTGCTGCTTAAATGATAAAATCGTATCATAGCAATCTAATTTCTGACAATATCTGTAGCGCTTAAATAGTTGCCATCCACAGGAGATTAATTTTACAACCTGATACCCCTGTTCATGAAAACATTCTTTCAAACAGATTTTCAAAAACTTTAGAATAGTTTCTAGCTGGGATAATCTCCACAAATACACATCCTATTGCTTGAGGCTGGAGACTAAATCCTAAACTTCAATCCAACCATATAAAAATTGATTTGTGTATTTCAAACACTGCTATTTATTGATTAGTATAGTACCACGCACACATGGCACAAAAGCCTGACTGCAGTTTTTAGCACCCTGAAGTCCCCCCACTGGAAGCCAATGCGAACTGAGGATCCTCACTGTGGAGATGCTAGTGAATTTGCTCTCAGTGCTTTAATGTAACAAGTATGTTAGAGAGATTAAATTTACCTTGCCCTTGTAGTATTCCTTGACTTCAGGCCTAATGGAATCAAAGTCACCGCTGATATAATCAGGTAAGAAGCTGAAAGGGAAAACAATGAGCAGTGAAATGAAAAATTTAGGCATCTTATTTTCTTAAATTAAAAAAAAAAAGTTCCCAAAGGAGGAAAATTCTTCTCTCTGGGGGGAAAAAATGTGATTATGAAAGGTCTAGACCTAAACAAGTTAATTCAAAGGAAGCTAAGCCCCTCATTTAACCTGTGTGCTTGTTGTAATCAGAGGCCCACCATGTCTTAAGGGACAAGTTCTACATCTTTACTCATGCTCACATCCTGAACTGAGTTCAGTAGGAGTTCTGCACACATGTTGGAAGAAGAAGCAAGCCCACTAATCGGCACCCTCTACATTGACAGCGCACATGTAAATTTTCCATACCCGCTACAGTGATGGAATGTTGTTGCTTAGTTAACGTGAGTTTTAGAGTTTACTGCATCCCATAATGCTAGTTTGTTTCACAGTAAATAAATGTGATCTAACAGAATGCCTCAGTCCACGGAGTGATTCTGGATATTAACTCTGATATCATTGGCAAAAAAAAAAAAAAAATTACACAATGAAGAGATGTAAGGCTGGGTTTCTCAACAAGTGAGGAGGAAGCTCTCTATTTCTGGATGTTTGGATTAGCCCTCTGTTCCTTTAGGTCCCATGAAGACCTTCACAGCTTTTGTGGGTTGGCAGCTATAAAAGCAAATTTGTTCAATTTAACACAGGGGGTGCATCTACATGTTCACATTACTGCAGAGTTGAAGTAAAATGGCACCATCTACACCTGCACTGGTATTAGGTACAGTAAATTAATACATTAATTAAGTCCACCGTAGGGTAGTACTGTCAGGGACACTACTATCTTACAGCAGAGTACTTAACTCTGCTGGAATGCATGCATAGATGGTGATGGGGCTGGCTGGGGCATGAGGGTGCTAAAGTGCAGGGGCTGCCAGCCAGCTAGCCCTGCACTTTAGCACGCTCATGTCCCAGCCAGCTCTTCTGCCTCCTGACACTGCCACCCAGAGCTGACCCTCTTGGTCCACTACCAGCCTGGGGCTGCTCTGCCCAGCTCAAACTGCTGCAGTACCAGGTACACATGTAAATGCTATGCCTGGGAGCAGATGACTCCAGTGCAAACTGCGCCAAGTTTATCATGTTGCTTTAATAGCACATGCAGATGCACCCAAGAATCTCTTGCATATATTCTAGCCCCAGAATTTTTTTTAAGCTAGCTAAGCAAATAATAAACCTGCATAAAGATCTATTTAATTTTGGTTTTCATTCTCCTAATGATTTAGTACACTAGAAATATGATGAATAAGTAAAGTTTGGTTAATTTCTTACCTACTATGTTGTGCTCAAATCTACTGCATGAGATGCAGGATTTATTTTTTTCTTTATCTACAGAGTGCTATATTATGCACTACATTAATATTGTGCCACTGTTCTAATGAGATGTCAACATTGGTTTTTGAGAGGGTTTGTTTTTCAAGCTCTTATTGATGTTCTCTGGTGATGTTTTTTCTTGTTTTTACTCACCACTGATAAGTACTCCTAAAAATTAATGAGGCTTAATGTTTTGGAAACATAATCACATTAAATAAAGTATACACCTTGAATGTTTAAGACCTATAAGAATATCACTTAAAGCACTAACAATATTTTTCCAAATGTCATACTGTTTTTGCTTTAAACAGCACGGCAACTAAAATTTGGGGGTATTAATTAGTTCACCTTCATCACCCTGACTGTCTTTTTTTTTTCTTTTTATTTGTAGGTTTCGAAGTACAAGAAACAAACAGTTTTTATACCTCATTATCATTTCCCAATACATAAAGAAACCTTAACTATGCATTTTAAACTAGCATTAAAACATTTTTGGAAAAAACCCATCTTGCTAGAATCCTGTAATTTTAATAAGTTTAGATGAGAAAGAGAGAAATGAAAAAAACCCAAGACTGAATTATGGAAATGGTGGTCACTTCTCTAGATAAGACTGAATTAAATTTTGAAATTAAAATAGAGATTTGACCATTTCCTAACATACGAAGAATGAAGCACTTCTTTCCCAAACATTACTGAACCTACTCCATAATAAGCAAGAGTGTATACAAGTAAGCTGATTTAAAATAATTTAAACTCATAAATCATTAGAGCAAACCCTTAAAGTAACATGGCACCATGTGCCAGGACAAATTTTCTCCCAATTAATCTATGTAGAGTATCAGAGACCTTCATACTTCCCATATGATTAACACTCATTGAAATCTTCTGCCCTGAATGCTTTTTTTTTAAAGGAGTAATGATCATTTGCTGTAATTATTCTTTATGACTGAAAATTTCTTCATCATAAATAGCTGACAAGTCATGCCAAAATATCCCATCTAGAACCACCTTATTTCAAAATGACTGGTATCTGTTGTTATTCTTGATAAACATCATGCCAAAGGGCGTGCCTTTCTAATGACTACAATTTCCAATTATCCCTAATGGAAGGGAAGCCATGTTAATCTCAGGAAAAAAAGACAGGTAGGTGTCTAATCTATCCAGGTTTTTCCAAAGACAAAATGTATATTTAAAAGAACATTCAACACTTTAGGAACCATTTTTTGCTTCCAATGACACAAATAATTGCACCTGATTTGCAACTAAGAATTAGGTTCCCACACTTCTGGACAAGCAGGACTAGACCTAGTTAGCTCTATGACTATATGTTAGACCTTGGCACCAAGGTTGCTGCCTGTTTACCGTATTTCTTTGAGTATAAGATGACCCTGAAAATATGTGGCCCCCCCCCCCAATAATTAGATTCTATATATGGAAAATTTATAAATCTGTTATAATTTTCCAGGTATAGAATTCAATTATTGGAGGTATACCTTGAATTTGACCCTCCCCCGCTGCTACCTGGGGAGTAAGGTAGCCCCTTGCCCTCTGCCCCCCACCCCTGCAACCCCTTCCCCTCTTCTGTCAGACCCTGCTCTCCCTGAGCACATGGAAGTGAGGGGCAAATTTGAAAACACTGACTCTGAATGAAACATGTCTACAGTAATTTAGGAAATCCAGAATTGATGCATTTTACCTTCTCTGATACTACAAATTTTAGCACAGCATAAACACTTTTAAGCAGCACTTTTGTACCTACTTGCATTTGGTACAAACTATGCTTGATATTAATGCAAAGCCAAAAGTCTCATACAGTTCATTGGGCTGAGCCCAAGCAGACTCAACAGTATTTCAAGGAATCGTGACCTCACAACTCAGCACTGCTCAGTATATGTGTGTACTCCAGATACCCCCATAAAGGATCCAGGTGCTAATTAGACCTCCCCACCCATGACTGAAACCAGGTGTTCTTGTTACAAGACTTGGGGTCCTCCAAAAATGTATATGCAGGTGAGGTGAGGGGCAACCCTGTCTGGCCTCATCTCATGGAGAGCAGGGCCACACTAATCATATATAACCGGCTGAGAAGGGGATGACAGAAGGATTCAGAGTGAATTGTTTGAAGCCCTGTTTGGTGATGTTTGCCAGACATTTAAGGCTGGTGAAGAAACAGGAATCATTGGAAATGGGAAAGAATGGCACAGGTCAGCTACGGGAGTGAAGAGAAAGTTGAAATGTATTCAATGTAGTGTTCACCATGACTCAAAAAAAGAGCTGGCGCTGAGGGAGACCAAATATACTGGACACTAGCATATATTTGATTCAGATGGGATGTACTAACCAATCTTTGTAGTAGGTTTCCATCATTATGGGCCCAAAATGGGCCATGTGTTTTACAGTCATGCTTGGTGTTGGCTGCATTTAACCCATTTCATAGTTGGTTTCCATTACTGAGCACATGCTGCTTGCTTTTGCAGCAGTGTAATGAAAGACAATGTATTTAATGAGGGTTTCTTGTATGCACATGTAAGACAAGGAGCTTTTCCCCCAGTGCTGACTAGGGAAAAAATCTCGTCCTTTATTTGAGTAAATATGGTTCTTGAGTCTTGGTGAACTAAAAAAAAATCTCTCAAATGCCTTAGAAGCTAAAAGTGAACTCCTGTCCTTTGCCCTTTCCTTTCCTACTGATGTATGAGAAGCCATTCAGACAACGTTCACTTCAGACAGTACAATGGTGCCACTGTACTTTGGCAATGGTGCCAAAAATAAACCCTTACCCTTCTCTTCTGTTGTGGCCCCTCTACCCTTCTAAGAAGATTAAACAATTTTATGTGAAACAACTGATGCCACACTAATGTTTATGATTTCCCAAAGTTCGTTAGCTTTTTCAAAATGTACCTTGCTCAAATACTGCATATATAGACATCTTAAATGATCACAAAGGTCAGCCTTGTACTCATCATTTTATTGTGCTTTGTTCACCTACCATAATTATAGTGTTTTTCTTCTAACAATTAAACTTTGTTTCCTGTAAATGGATGTTTCAAGAGACATATTAATGGTATAGCAGAGAATTAGAAGAATGCACTTTAAACAAAATGCATCCCCTCTAAGTGGAATTTTGCTGCAGAGGTTTTAATTTCATTTAAATTGAAAACAACTTAGAAACATCTGTCAGCTCCATTTTCATCCATGAAGCAGTAAACTTAAGAAACAAGTACAAGTATGAAACAGAGAACAGCTCTGCTGTATCTGTAGAGCACCCTCCTATAGCTTCTGATAAAAAATACCTATGGTAGTCTCCCCATCTTAAAAATGCCACTGCTCACTAAGCTCAGCTGCATCTAAGGGAATGTCTATTTAAACCTTCACTGCATAGACAAAATCACATAGACAAAACAAACAATCATACACATAAAAACAAACCCTACCCATGTCATGCATTGAAAAATGTTGCATGGTCACTGTTGAAGCAGCATTGCACTTGAAAGCATGTCCCAAACTGATATCCTGAGAACAGCCTTCAGCAGATGTGCTGAAATGCAATTATGCAATAATATTTAACTATCCAGTACATACAACCATCTTGGAAAGCAAATCATATGAGGAGAGGCAGAAGGAATTAGGCATGTTCAGCTGTGGAAAAGG